TGAAATCATCATATAATGTCTTAGGAACAGGTTTTTTCAACCACCAAAGTCATCCATATTTTCAATTTCTGAGCAAATATATGATAATCCAACCAGTAAAATCATTCCTTTGTAAAATTTACTACGCAAAACTTCCACACATATATATATATATATCGCAAAAAGGTATACTTGCAAGTGAATAACAAAAGACACCATTTTTCAAAGTTAGTGAAGCTGCTTGTCAACTCAACTTTTCTTCTTCTTGCCTTGCTGACAGTTGTAGTGTGAGGGTTCAATTCCTAAAATATGAAATTTGACTATTTGTGGGTACTAGTGTACAAGTAAGCTCTTGTTCCCTAACTTATTGAGGCACATTCCGCGATTTACATCTCTCACGATATTTTAGGGGCGAGATGGTGGGAGCCCTCAAAATTGGGGTTCAACCTTTAACTTTTCATCTTCTTATCTTTTTTGTTATAAGTTACTTAACGACCTAGACACTGAAAATGCTCTCTTTTCAATGAGCAAAAAGCCAAAACCCAATCTCAACACATAGGTATTCATTTTCAACTTGCCCTCGAATCAAAGATCACTACTGTTATTCCGCAAACACGAAGAAAATATATCAAAATTATATTCTCTCAGGAAAAGGGATAAATTGGGTAAGAAATAATAGCAGAATTTACTGACTTTAGAGGGGTCACTCACGTCGTGCGACAGAAAATTGAAGAAAACTCTACTTTTTTGGCTACTGAAATGAAGAAGAGCGTGTGACAAATTTATGGGAAAAAACGAATGTTCAATAGGGAAACTTACAAAGGAGAGACAAGTGATTAAGAAGACGAGAAATTGAACATTTTAACAAATCATAGACCTATTTTACTATAGAGTGATTTATTATTATTATTTTTTTCTGATTCTTCCAAAATTAAAGAAAGAATGAAAATGTGAAAAACTAGATCCTAACGAAAAAAAAAACTCTTGTATTGTATGTGGAGTCTGGAGAGTAAAAAAATGGAAGAAGAAGACAGAAAATCACAATTTTGATGGACTTTTGAGGACTAGCATTTTATCATTTTGCACCCCTTTTGCAATAACAATGTGATCAAAAGTGAAAGATGACAATTCTCGAACAAGGGTTTATTTAAATTTTGATGGATTTTTGAAGATTATCTTTTATCACGTTATGTCAAATCTCAAAATATTTTCTTAAGTTTAACACGTTGATTTCCACACACACACACACACACATATATATGTGTGTGTGTGTGTGTGTATATATATATATATATAGAGAGAGAGAGAGAGAGAGAAGAAGAAGTTGAACCCAAAGAGAATGGTCGAAACGAAACCCTTTAAAAGAAAAGTCGATCATGAACTACATTCTTGAAAAAAGATATTCAAGTGTAATATAGTCTTTCTTCTAATTATCGTTTAAATCACACATCGATATAAATAAAATGATGGACAAACGGTACTACTCAATACTCATCAATCTTACGAAATGAATAAGCATAAAAATCAAAGTGTTCGAAATTTAAACCCTAAATTTAAACAGCTCCCAAACAAAAGCTAACATTTACTTTTGTTTCTTTAGCGCTTCTTTGAGCTCCATTTTGGGAAATAAAATATATTTTTGAATAGTGATTTTTTGAGTAATATGTGGTTAAAAAATGAAAAAAAATAAAATCAATAAACGTATAAAATTATTTTATTGAAGAATATATGATTGAAAATGAATTTTTAAAAAAATGGAGCTTAAACAAGGGCCTAGCCCCTATTTGGGGATAAGTTAAATTAGATTTTTAATAAATTTTTATAAAAGTTGATAAAATGTATGGTTGAAAAGTTGTATGACCCATAAAATATGTGGTTGAGATGAATTGTTGATTTTGATTTAGGATCTTAATTGATATTAAATGTGGCTTAATTGATATTAAATGGACTATAACACCCTTTCTTCAACCATATATATATTTTTTCTCGGTCAACTCATGATTTTCTAAAAAAATCTTAAAATGGAAAAATTGGAATTTATGATTTCCAAAATTAAAGAGACATATATTCAATTATTCATATATCGATGAAACCTACGCCAATTTAATGGCAGTATCCGAACATTTTAGACCACCTTAAAAATTGCTCATAAGTCCTTTATTTTCTGAGAAATTACAATTTCCTCACCAAAGAAACTGCACAATATAAACACTCGAAAAGGTCCACCCCCACCACAGCTCGTCCACTTTCTTGATTTTCCAACATTCCAATGGCGGGTCTGCATACCTCCCTGAGGCCGCAACCACCGTCTTCTGCAGCCAAC